GAGCTTGTGTATTGGATTTTGGGGGTAGTTGGGACTCGTATTTGCCTCTAGCGGAGTTTTCCTACAATAACAGCTATCATTCGAGCATTGGTATGCCGCCCTTTGAGCTGTTATATGGTAGGAGGTGTCGGACTCCCATATGTTGGGGAGAGGTTGGGCAAAGGGTAATGGGCAGTACAGAGATCGTGAATCAGACGACAGAGCAGATACAGCTGGTCAGGCAGAGGTTATTGACCGCTCAGAGCCGGCAGAAGAGTTACGCGGATAGGCGCCGGTCCGAATTGGAATTTCAGGTCGGCGACTTTGTTCTCCTGAAGGTCTCTCCTTGGAAAGGAGTGATCCGGTTCAGGAAGAGGGGCAAATTGGGACCCCGGTTTATTGGCCCATTTCGTGTGATCGCCAGGGTGGGCCGGGTAGCCTATCGGCTGGAGTTACCAGCAGAGTTGGGACAGATTCACAACACTTTTCATGTATCGCAGTTGAGGAAATGTATAGCCGATGAGTCGGCAGTGGTTCCACTTGAGGATATTCAGGTTGATGCGAGCCTGAATTATGCGGAGAGACCAGTGGCTATTAGGGATCGGAAGATCAAAGTTTTGAGGAACAAGGAGGTACCTCTGGTATTGGTTCAGTGGCAACATCGGAAGGGATCAGAGATGACCTGGGAGCCGGAGGATATGATGCGGGAGCAGCATCCGGAGCTGTTTTAGAGCGGGACTTCGAGGGCGAAGTCCAGTTCTAGTGGGGGAGAGTTGTAACATCCGGATTTTACCAGGTATAATGTAAGTTTAATTGTGTTATTTTGTAAGAGGGACTCGGCGAGTCAGGGCTCAGACTCGCCGAGTAGGGACGCGGGATTGAGCGAAGGTGCGCGCTTGGACTCGGCGAGTCCAGGGTATGGACTCGGCGAGTCTGCGCTGTGTTATGGAACCCTAAATCCCCGGGTTTGTGGCCTATTTAAGGGGCCTTATGGCCGTCATTTGCGCTCATCCAACCCCCAGAGTGTGTCCCTAGAGTTCTTGAGCGTTTGGTGAAGGATTGAGAGCAAATCTTGACCTTGTGAGTGTTGTTTAGCAAGAAGAAGGAGGCTCTAGGCAAGAGGAGGCAAAGGAGGTTGCTATTTCGTGGATTTGGAGCTTGGATCATCACTTTAGAGGTAATATTTTCGGACCATTTTCTGTTTGGTGAAACTTGATGCAAGTTAGGGCTTAATATGATCATTTATGGGGTGATTTGGTGCCCTTTTGTTCCCTCTTTGAGTTGAGACCATGGATCTGGATCCATAGAGGTCCAGAGGGCCTCACTCATCAAGCTTTACGGGTGGAAATGGAGTCCTTGGCCTTGTGTTGAAGTAGTAGAGTCAAAAACATCATTTGTGATCATGTAGAGGTTATTTATGCATCAAGATTGTGACTTTACATGCTAAATAAGCATGGGGGGACTGGATCTATGGATTAGTGGACTGGATCTGGCCTTTAGAGCAAGATTGAGTCAGTGCATGGCTCTGACTCGCCGAGTCCGAAGAACAGACTCGGCGAGTAGCTTGAATGCTGCACGACCACTCAGCGAGTGGCCTCGCTGAGTTGGGATGAGTGAACTCAGTGGGTCAAGGGGGAGTCAGGATGGACAGGTGGACCGAGTCAAACCGGACTCGCCGAGTCGTTCTTGAGACTCGGCGAGTTGAGTCGTGGTGGCCCCACAACTCGTGCCAGGTGGAGCTCGTCGAGTTGGGAAGGGATGCTCGACGTGTCAAGAGAGGATTCCAGGGAAATTGGTGATTTCGCTCAGACTCGCCGAGTCGCTATAGTGCACTCACCGAGTCCGGTCAAGTTGACCGTTGACCAGCGTTGACCTAGGTTGTCCTGTTATGGTATGGTCAACCCCAGTTGGGAAAGTGTTAATTAGAGATATATTGTGCTATAGGGGGACTTCAGCTCGGCAGATCGAGTGTTTAGCGATTTCAGGGTTACGGTTTACCGAGACACACGAGGTGAGTCTTCTCACTATACTTTACCTTGAGTAGGTAACCAGAGTTATGAGATAGAGTAATTGTATGCTATGTATGTTATGTGTTGTACTGCATTACTTTATATGTTTGATGCTGTGCATGTTTACAGAGTTAGAACCGGAAGGTTCACAGAGTTAGAACCTGAGGGTTCGCAGAGTTTGGGTGCACGGACCCACAGAGTTATAGCCTCGAGTGGCTAATATGTGCTATATGTAGTATTGTGGGAAACTCACTAAGCTTTGTGCTTACAGTGTTGATGTTATTTGTTTCAGGTGCTAGTGACGACCGTGGGAAGGCGCCGGCTTGATCCGTACACACACGTTTGGAGCTTGACATTTTGATCTTGGGATTTTGTAATATCTTGTTGAACAATTAAAAGGGGTTGTTTCTATGAATATTGATGGAATTATGCTTTCATAAAAATCGAAAATTTTGTTTGAAAAATCAGTGTTACAACAACATTTATGGTGGGTGTGAGCTTGATAGAAAATCGACTTCAGGAGGATGCCAATTTCTGGGAGATAGACTGGTGTCATGGCAGTGCAAGAAGCAGCACACAGTCTCAACCTCAACAGCAGAAGCAGAATATGTTGCTGCATCTGCTTGTTGTTCTCAAGTCATTTGGATCCAACATCAGTTGTTGGACTACGGTTTGAATTTTCAAGTAACCCCTATTTTTTGTGGTAATGAGGCTACTATTCAAATTGCCAAAAACCCGGTCCAGCACTCAAAAACCAAGCACATCGACATCAAGATTCATTTTATTCGAGAATGTTATGAGCGTTTGCTCATTCGGCTAGAACAGGTCCGATCTGATAATAATGTAGCAGATCTGTTCACCAAGCCTTTTAACAAAGCTCGATTTGATGTGCTGGTTAATTTTCTAAAAATGATTCGTTTTGAGGATTCATTTTTTATTTTTTAATTTTTTTAAAATTTGCGCATTTTCTTTCATTTTATTTTTATGCACAGATTTAGGCGGAGAAAAATAGAAAATCCAAAAACATTAAAAAAATAGAAAATCCAAAAACATTAAAAAATAGAAAATCCAAAAACATTAAAAAATAGAAAAACCAAAAACATTAAAAAAATATAGAAAATCCAAAAACATTAAAAATTAGAAATTATGTTTGAGGGAGATGTTCTGGGAAGTGATATGATCATGTGATAAGAGGCAACCTGAGTCTGTGTAACATACCCAAAGTTGAAGGGTCTATGCTCTGGTTTGATGTGTCGGTAGGCACGAAAGATTCTAAATGGACATGACTAGGCGGAATTGAACTTAGTAAATCAAATGTCTTGACAAATCTTGACCTAGATAGTTCCGTTTAGTCTGACAATACGACGCTCGGATAGGTTGAGCAGGGAGATATATATGGGAATCTACTAGTCACATTAAATGAACCCGTATCTGGAACCGTGGTTTAACTTTTCCTCCATGTGCGGATTTTGTCCTTAATTCCGGTGTTGATGGGGTGACTGGTAAATTCCGATAAATTAGGTCTGTAGAAAATCATTTTCTTTCTTTGTATCTGTTAGTCATATGTTGCCTCCTCTGCGTGATTGGAAGAGATCCGACCTGGACTGTAACATATGCAACTCTATTTCTCTGCATATTATATATATATATATATATATATATATATATATATATATATATACATATGAAATCCTCTTATCTGTTAGCCATATGTTGTCTGCTTTGCGTGAGTAATAATCCGACCTGGTACACACCATATGCACTATAAGTGATAATACTCTGAATCTATCTTCTCCCCTTATGATGGCCTGTTCATCTGATGTAAGGAGTACTCTGCAAGTCCTTGATTACCGTGGCATATCTGGAAACGAAAAACATGTTTCAGTACAATTAAAATTGAACACTCAAAGATTGTCTATAGATCTTGCTGCTCAATTTAGGTGGACAACAATATCCCTAGTCGTCATCAGCTAATGGTCCTTAAGATATAGTAAGATATAGTATCTAGAAACTTAGGATCATATATAATATCTAGGAACTTAGGATCACATTGTCTTGTCACGTATAGTATATCCTAATTTTGTCACAATTTTTCGTGTTTAAGTGGACAACAATACCGACATTCTACTAGACAAAGATGTGAATATGAAAGATACCGACAAGCGGATAATGGTTGTCTAAAAACTTCGATCCCTAAACTTCAACAGGTTAAACAATTTATATAGGTTTAAATTGCTTCTTGTCGTAAATAGTATTTTCAATCTCATTTTATTTTTTATTTTTTATTTTATTTATTTTTATTTTATTTTATTTTTATTTTTTATTTTATTTTAATTTTTTTTCTTGAATCTTTGAAATTAAAATTCTATTAATCCTCAAAATAATTCATTTTTGAGAAAATTGTGAAGTGAAAGGGGTTTTGGGATAAATAATTAAAGGAAAAGGGGGAGAAAGTGAAATTTTTTGCATATATATATATATATATATATATATATATATATATATATATATATATATATATATATATATATATATATAGTGTACGTGTGTGGTGAAAATCGTATAGTCACTATTCCTGCTTCAACCGCACATACATATTTACTCTCTCAAACTCTTTAAATTTCCATTAAGTTTTTTTTTTTTTTTTTTTGTGAAAACAAGCTTTTTACTCGGTAATTTTCATGAACACAGCTGAATTTTTAATTACTTTCACAAATTTTTTTTATAGTTTGCTGTTGAATCATCATAAATATTTGTTTATCTTCAAGTGTAACCGCACACGGTGTGTGCGGCCGCACACGTTCGTGTGCGGCTGACCGTGTGCTGCCACACTCTTTCATGAATAAGCGTGTGCGGCTGACCATGTGCTACCACACTTTTTCATGGACAAATGTGTGCGGCTGACCGTGTACAGCTGCATATGTGCGTGTGCGACTGTGTGTAACTCCGTGTGCGGCTACATCATTCTTATATGTTGCCCTAATAATTTCATGTGTTAATTTTTAGATTAAAATGGGAGACATGGAGTTCGCTAAAGCTCATAATTCTGCAATTTTTCTTGAAGATCCTCCTGCAGCCCACGGTGACTTGAAATTCATTGTGGATGGTTTGAAGAAATCATGCTTGGTTCATTGCTTAACTACAACTCCTGCTATAAACCAAAGTTTGTTCAAGGATTTCTGTAGAAATGTTGATGTAAAGAAGAATGATCGAGGTGAAAAATTTCTGGAAACAACAATCGAAGACAAGAAAATTCTAGTCACAGAAAGCATCATCAGAGAATCTCTTCAAATTGAGGACAGACCTGAGTACCTCATGGAGATTGACATTCATCAAATTGAGAAAATTTTAGAGCATATGGGATACGAAGGAACTTTTCCTCCTACAATCAAAAAGCTGCTTCCTCCATGCTGGAAGCTTTTGGCTCATGTGTTCGTGAGTTGCGTTTCTGGCCGGAGATCAGGAGCTAACGAGATTTCTCTAGCCAATACTGGTGCCATTGCTGCATTGGCAGTAGGTTTTGAGTTTAATTTCTCAAAATTCATAATGAATGAAATGATACTAAATATTGAAGGAAGCAAAAGAGACAAATTTTGTATGTATCCAAGATTCGACAAATCATCCTTAACGTAACTCACCCCGAGTTGCAGAGAGAAAATGATACTCTAGATTTCAAATCCATTGGTCGAAGTGCCTTTGGATTAATGAAGCAAAAGAGAGGCATAAAATTTGTATTTGAAGGAAAATTTCCATTAATAAAATTTGGAATTTTTAAAGAGGATGTCAGAGAAGAATCAGCAGATCAATCCATGCCGATGGAAAATGAAGATACTCATCACTCTCTCTCCGAGCCTGTAGTGGAGGAGATTCATCACTCTCCCACAGCTTGTGTAGCTGATGAGCATGATTATCAGAAAGCAAATGATTCAATATCTTCTCGAGGGGATGATGACGATGGTCTTTATGAAGATGTAGAGTTTTTGAAAGAAATCGACTTTACAGGAATCAATGATGACATTTGGTTGTGAAGATTTTGATCCTTTTCTTGATATTCCCAGCAGCCGTGCAAATAAAGTCAATGAAGTTGCAATTCTCTAGCAACCAAGACTAGAGATGAAGGAAATTCTCTAAAAATTCCGCTCTCTACCTCAAAGCCCTTGGAAATCACAACAAGCCAAGGAGATGTGACATCAGAGATTCCTCCCTCTGTGTCACCTGTGTCAACATCAACTCCAGTCATTTCTATGTTATCTGAACCTCATACTTCTCAGACCTCCATAAGAACAAGCCAATCTCTTGAAAGTCTGGAGGTACCCTCTGTGAAATGTGCTCCTCAAATTATTTCAACAATCACTACAACCACTGCGCACTCTCCTTCAAAGCAGACTGATGAAGGTCCAAGCACCATGTTCGAGACTGGTGGATCCTCTTCTATTCCAGAATATTCTCCAACACGACCTTCTCTTGATGAAGCTTCTATCAGATTAGTAAAACATCTAGCTCAATCTAGTCCAACCTCTTCACGCGGAAAAGGAATATCATTTAACGAGGTTCGGACAGATGATGACAAATCTTCTTCTTCTGATCTCCAAGAAGAAATTGGAATTCTCCGTCAACAACTCATTGAAAAGTCAACTCAGATGGATCAGCTTTCTGCACATATTTTTGAGCTCAGGGCAAAAGATGAAGAAAAGACCAAACAAATCAAGGATCTACAAACGAGTCTTGGTTCTGTTCTAGCAAATTATTTCAATCTCAAGAACGTATTGTACGATGCTTTTGGTGAGAAAGTCAGAGCCCTCTTCCAACAGCCTTATGGAGTAGTTGATCCTCCTTCTATTCAATCACCTCCTGCAACTAATGATCTACGTGTTGAACCACCTGTTCCAAGAACAACTACCATTGTCGACAGATTTGAAAAAGAACCTGAAGGAAGCAGAGCCAGAATCACAATCAAGCAGGGAAAAAGAATTGTAACTGCAAAACAAAGCGAAGGCCTTTTATTCATGAAAAACTCTAATGAAAATCGCAAATCAAAAGACCCTGTCTTGACAGTAACAGATTTGAAGAAAAGAAAGTTTTGTGATTAGTATGGTGACAGGACATGCATCCGAATGTGGGCCTTTGATCTAGTGACGAACTTGTGGGTTGTAAAGTGAAAATCAGGAGCATCTGAATGTTACAAAAGCACCCATGATTTCAACTCTTGGACCAAAACTGATCTAGCTGAATTATCCATGGCCCCATTCCATAACCCCTCTGAAGATCCTAATGCTTCAAATTTCAAAAGATTCCTCGACAGACAGGTCAAAGAAAACTTTCCTTCAATGAAGACTGCAAAAGCCCTATACAAAAAGGACAAAGATGTTCTTGATCCAGAAACAGGCGAACCCATGAAGATTATACTCTGGCCTGCAACTAAGAAACAAAAGGAAATTCCTATTCCTCAACATTTTCATAAGGGATATCTAGATGACATGGAATTTTAGGCATATGATGATGAAACAGCTACTGTAGCCATCAAATTCAAGAATCGAGAACATATTCTGAGATTGATTAGTGCTAAAGATCTTCTCCGCTTCTGAAAAAGTGATATACGAACTTTGGCCCGTCATCAAATCGTTTGCAGAAAGGAAATCATGGAAGCTGCTGCTAAAGAATACACTGCAATGGTAGCTACAATTATAAATGGAAGATTATGGATGGGATCAATGGGGAGATCAGATCTGAGATTGTTTGAGAAGCCTGCTGAGGAGCCTAAGGAGTGAAGACAAGACTATGCTAGTCTCAAACCAGGGGGGAGACTGAAAGAACATAATTTTGTGGTTTGAGCTAGGCATCATTTTGTATAGATGATAGTGTCTTTTTTAAGTGATTATGTGTTGTAGTGTAATGTGTGCTGCCACACATGTGTGTGTGCGGCCGCACAGTGTGTGCGACAGCACACATGTGTTTGGCTGCACTCTCTTGTGCTGGTGTGAGGAGTACTATTTATAGCAACTGAGGTGTGTCAGATTGTACTGATTTTGCTGGTGTCAGAACTCTGCTGCAGTTGTACTTTTCTCAAGATGTACTTGACATTTACTGAATATGGATGTGTGCATGCTTGATTTTAACTTCTTCTTCTTCTACATCTCTCCTTTATTATAATTAACTTCATTAATTACTGAATTGGATCATTAAATTTGGGACTTACAATTATCTAAGGTTGAGGTCTCGAATCACGGTGTTTGGGTCCCCTAGTTATGATAGCTGATTCTACACTTCCGGTAACTATCCGGTCACTTTAGTATTTTTTTTTCATTTGAGTTATCGATTTCCCACTTCATGGAGCTATTGTATGTAACGAATTTCATCATCTTGTACTCCCCCTTTTTTTGATTTTTTAATTTTTGAATGATGATGATGATGATGCATGAAAATGATAAAATGCAAAAACTTGAAATATGTCACACCCCAAAACCTGAACGGCAAAATCGTTCGGGGGTGGAGGACGTCATGTAGAGTATCACAACCATGAATAGTAGTATACAAGCAACAACATCATCCATTGCATTAATAATATAATTTTATCCATGTGTTCTGTCAAAGTTATAGACACCAAAAATATACATATCAAAATAAAAGATGAGTCTTCAACGAACTCCATCTTCTCAAAAGCCCGGCACCTATACCTGTCTAGTGGTGACCTAAGAATACAAGTTATTTTGAAAGAGAGTATCAGCTTAATGCTGGTGAGATCATAAGTATATTAGTGTCTGTGTTTGTATGAAAACATTTGTAAGATGTTTGTAAGCTGTAATGTATAAGTTTTGTAAAGTTTGTATTTGTTTGAACTATCCTAGAAAACCTTAAGTTTCCTACTAAAAGTAGCCTTCTACCAAGGCATCTAGTAACTATGTGTGTTTCTTGTAAGAGTGTGTATTTTCCCTGATCCGACTATCATTAACCAAAAATATAGTTTTTACATTACCGTGCATCGTGTGAATGTTCACGAAGTGAATATAATAGGAAAAATATTATAGTACTGTAGTGTTGTATTAAGTAACTACTGTTGTACTAACTACCTTAAACCAATTATTATTTAAAGTACCATCTGATCAGCATGTACCCTGCTACCGAATCAATCGTAAAACACCGATGTAAGACGCCGTAAGAAATGACATTTGGCACTCGTAGACTTGCAACTCCCACTGTAGCGAGCATCAAGGTGTAGGATAGTCAATCCAGTATAGATCTATACGCAAACTCATACGCTCCCCAATTAAGAAGATTCTGGATACAAAAACGGTCATGGTAGGTAGTGCCATGACCCGTTTAATGGCTCACATAACTGAATCTAATGTATATGTAATGTATGTGCTAGCTTTATTGTGTGTTCTTTCTCTGTCTAGCCTGTATGTTTGTTTCTCATCACTATGTATTATGTTTGTTTCTCATCACTATGTATTATGTTTGTTTCTCATCACTATGTATTAAGTTTGTTACTCATCACTATGTATTAAGTTTGTTTCTCATCACTATGTATTAAGTTTGTTTCTCATCACTCTGTTCTATGTTTGTTTCTCATCACTATAAGTTATGACTCATGTATGAACTGACTCTTTGTATGATTCATTGTTCTAGTATTAGTATTAGTAAAACCCTAAACTATGCCTATTGTAGTTTACTAGTAATATAACTTGTACGTATGAACATGGGAGTATACCCTTGCTACCCAAGGGTACTGAATGAACTGGAAGAACCTTTATGACTATATATGTACACATGATATATAACTAATATTTAAACGACCTTCGGATGAGTACCCGATATCCCAGCAGACCACATCTCAAGCGAGAAAAGGAAATAGGGCGGATAGGCCTTCCTAAGCCTTTTAAACATTTCTGATATAACTATCCATACATAGACATGAAATTGATAATATAAAAGTATAAAAGAAGTTTCATAAAATCATTTGATATGTAAAATAGTTTTTAAGACAATTTGAAGTAAAACAGTTTAGTAAAACAGTTTGAAAGTAAGAGATTCACTTGTCGATAGTTATTAATCACATGTGATTGAGATAATAACTTCCCCCCCATAAAAGTATTTATAAACATTTGAAAAAATTTAAAAGGTTAATTTAGGGGTATTAACTCATTTGCAGTGAGTGGATTGGATTGAAGTGTCGGATGCGGTGCTAGGTGACAAATGGAGACTTGTACACACGCACGAGCCTAGTTATCATATAATGAACATATATATATATATATATATATATATAACTAATTAGCCAATTTATAACTAATAAATTAAGTTAGGACACTCTAGAACATGAAAACACTTTGTTTCAAGTGTTAAAGATCAAAAGGGTTGCATCTAAGTGTTTGTAGGGCAAAGCTAGAGTGTTTGGGGTTTAAGGGTAAACTCCTTTGAAGTTTACGGTTTTCATGACCATTACCCAAGGAGTTTACGGCAATAAACTCAAGGGTTTACAGTCGTAAACTCTACACTTTATGACCATATGTTGTTTTGAGATTTTACAAGTCCTTTGAAGCATTTCTACTTGGTGGTTAGGCCTTTGGAAGGATCTAGGGCACCATTTCACTCCTAAGTGGAGTTTACGGTCCCTTTACCATTTTCATTGGAGTTTACTACCTTAAACTCATAATTTTATGGTATTTGGGGGTTTTCAAGTCCTTAGCTCAATCATGGCAATAGTCTAGGTTAGATTTTATACATAAGGAATAAATATGGGACTTTTATACACCTTTTAGGGTGTTTACGGTTTTGCTAGATCCCCAAACCGTAAACACATACAAATGTAAGGTTTTGGTGCTTTTTGTGTGATAAACTCATCAAGGATGAATCTAGATAAGTCCCTAAGTAATTGTGAAGCATTTAGGTACCCTAAGGCACCACTTTGCACTTTATTTGGTGTTCTTGGGACATTTCCTTGGTATTAATATGTATAGCAAGCTTTAAAGGACTCATGGATTGAAATACTTACTTTGTGGAACCTTGTAATGAACTAAAAGTCCAAGAACACTAGTGTGTGTTCTTGGTGTTTTGGAAAACTAGTCAAAACACATAAATGGATGGATTAAAAGATGTAAAAACACTAGTTGTTATGATATAACAACAAATTAAGTCAAGAAGTACTTACGTTTTCGGGAAATCGGGTGAAAACCGGGATGATAGTTGAGAGTGTTTTGAGTTTACTCTTTAGGGTGAAAATGAGAAATGAATAACTTACTTTCGGGAGTAAACTCATGCTTAAGCATGAGTTTGCGGTTTTTGATGTAAATTTCGGCCCAAACATAAATGTTTGGCTGGGAATTCCTTAACTACGCGGTACCTGCGGTTTTCAATTTCAAGACTCGAGACGACACATCCTTTCACCCATTCGTTTAAAGATTAATTATTAAAATAATCAAACGAACTTTAAATTTGCTAATAATAATTAAAAATTAACTTGAATTATAAATTGGAATGATTGACTTTAGGGTTTGACCGAATGAAAATATCGGGTTGTGACATCATCCCCCCGTTAAAGGGAATTTCGTCCCGAAATTAAAGTTTAAACAATTAAGTTATTACAAATAACTACGTAAAAAGATGAGGATATTACAGTTTCATCTGATCCTCTCGCTCCCACGTGAATTCAAGTCCTCGCTTGGAGTTCCAGCGAACCTTCACTATCGGGATACGACTTTGTTTCGTTTGCTTGACCTCTCGGTCCATGGTCTCTACTGGTTCCTCTACGAAGTTGAGGCTCTCATTGATCTCGATCTCGTCGAGTGGGATTACAAGAGTCTCATCGGACAGACACTTTTTCAAGTTCGATACGTGGAAGGTAGAATGTACGTTACTGAGTTTGCACGGTAAGTTAAGTTTGTAAGCTACAGGGCTGATTCTTGCGAGAATCTCGAAAGGCCCAATGTACCTTGGATTTAGCTTTCCACTCTTTCTGAAGCATATCAAGCCCTTCCAGGGTGAGACCTTCAATAGAACACGGTCACCCACCTGGAATTCTAACGGTTTCCTACGTTTATCAGCGTAGCTTTTCTGTCGGTCTCTGGACGCTTTGAATCGTTTGCGGATCTAAACGATCTTCTTCGTTGTTTCCCGTATGATTTCCGGACCTGTGAGAGTGCGTTTAGGAACTTGTCCTTTAGCTAACCGGGTATCACCCACCTCAGCCCAGCATAGAGGGGATCTGCACTTTCGGCCATAGAGGGTCTCGAATGGAGCAGCCTTTATGCTCGTGTGATAACTGTTGTTGTAGGAAAATTCCACAAGGGATAAATGAGTATCCCATGCTTTCCTAAAGTCAATCGCATAGGCTCGCAACATATCTTCCAAGGTTTGTATAGTTCTCTCACTTTGCCCGTCTATCTGTGGATGGTAGGCTGTACTCATGTCCAGCCTAGTTCCTAAGGAACTTTGTAGCAACTGCCAGAACCGCGAAGTGAATCTACTATCTGTGTCCGAGATAATGGATAAG